AAAAAAAAAAGCCTAGGCCAAGTGATGTGCAATAGGTGAGGAGAAAATATTTTCACTTGAAGAACTGAAAATTGTTAATTTGCCATTGATGATAGTATTTCTATATAATCAGTCTGAGTCAGGGAATAGAAAGAAATGGGTAAAGAAATGTACAAGCAGGGCCCTCCCTGGTGGTGCATGGGATTAAGGTGTAGCATTATGAAGCTGTCAGCAGCCACTGCATCATGAGTTCTATCCCTGGCGAGGGAGGTGACCTGCATGGTGCAGCTGACCATCCTGGCCCACCTGACCCTCCTGCCCCATCCGCTGCTACCTTTGGAACTCTATTTCAGTTAATCCACCTGTTCTGTTCCCCATTCTGTCTCTGGTGAATTATCTCAAAACCCCCCTCCACCCCCACACTCTGACCTGTGTCCCAGTTCTTGTATGCATAAGTAAATAAATCTTTAAAATATGATATACACAGGCAAATAAGTTCAAATAATGAAACCATCTGAAAAGATGATAAATTTCATTGGCATTCAGGAAAATGCAAGTTGAAAAGCAATGTATTTCTTTAAAAATACATCCATCTGAGCATATTAAAAATTTATATAAAAATCCAGTATTGTTGAGTGTAAAGGATCATAGACTTTCTCCTGCATTGTGTATGGGAGTTGTGTTCTAGGTGGAAGTTAATTGGGTAGTAGCTATTGGGCCTTTGCTATTTATGCACAGATTACATATTCCTGTAACTTCTAGATGTGAAAGCCAATCACATAGGTATATGTGAGCTATCTCTGCAGAAAGAATTCTCATTGAAGCTTGTTTGCTATGGAAAAAGATTGAAAAATTACTTGCACACATTTCTTAATCATGGTGTGATCATAGAATGGAATTCTGTGAATCTGACAAAAAATGAAGGTGTTAAGTAAACCTCCCCCCCAAAAAAAAACAAAGCTGCAGCATTATTCTGTAGCTTATAAACTAAGACTATACTGCGAATGTGTGCTTTTGCATGTAGTCCAGATGGAAATACATAGAAGAATGGATATGTATAATACAGATGGAAATACGTAAAAGAAAACACACATCAAACTGTTCATGGTGGTTCCCTCTACAGGCAAAGAGGAATAGTGATAGCCCTGAACAAATGCTTCCTGTATTTATATATGTTTCTGTATGATTAGACTTACTATAATAGCTTATGATATTAAAACCAAAAAAGTGATTAAAATATACAAGCTTCACGTTTAGTAAAGACTCAATCGAAGAGCATTCTGTCTTTTGGAATTACTTGCAAAATAGCAGCCATCTTGTCACTGGATGATATATTCACAATATCTGAGTTTTACCAAGATGTGTTATTTTGTGATGCCATCTTGGTTTTGGTTGAAAGAAATTATAAAATCCTCAGAGAAGAACAGTGTTGCTTGAGAGGTCGATTTGTTTGTTCCATGACAAGAGGAAAGTAGGGTTAGTACCGACAGAAGCTGGAAACACCATATGACTCACGCGAAAGAGCAAGAATACACATGAACAATTAATCTAAGAGTTGGAGGCAGGGATGTTTCTGTTGCCACCTCACAGGGGAAGGTAACCACATACCAAAGAAACACAAAAGTTTCAGAAAGCTGGGCCCTCACTGGTGGCACAATGGGTTAAAGCACAGCACTATGAAGCTATTCGCAGCCACTGCAGCATGAGCTTGATCCCTGGCCAGGGAGCTTTCCCACATGGTGCATCATACTTCTCCTGACCCCACTAGCTGCTCCCCTCAGTAGTATATTTCAGTCAGTCTGCCTGTTCTGCTCCTTACTGTGTCTCTGGTGAATCCCCTCACCCTCTGCACTTCTGGCCTGTACCCCAGTTCTTGTATGCATAAATAGATAGATAGATAGATAAAGGTTTAGAAAGCTGAGTCACAGAGAGTGTGACAGGATGGGACATGTGACTGGAAATTCTCAGCATGACTGTAGTTTCTCACAGAGCTGTTTACACAGTCTTTCACTAAAAACAAACAAACGAACAACAAAAGGATTTATTGTTAGTTTTTGCTCCTTTGGATGTTCCAAGATATTGTCATGCCCAACAAACATTCCCCTGCCCCTGTGAGTAATAGTTGGGGTGTCTTGGCAATGGATTTAAGTAGACTTCACTTGGTCTTCATGCCAAGGTTACTTAAGTAACATTAGAAACCAGTTCAGGCACAGTCCATGTCTCACAGCCCAGATAAGCTTGTTTCTTTTTTGCTTTAGCTTTGTTTCCTTTGATTTCTCTTTGATTCTTCCTCTCTGGTCAGTAGAATTAATACTAGTGAAGTGGCTATATGATCACCATGAGGAGTGAGATAGGCAATATCTCCATTCTCTCTCTCCAGATAGCTTTATTGAGATATAATTTACATGTTATACTCTCTACCCATATTAAGTTTACAGTTTGGGTTTTGTAAGCTTACATAGTTGTGCAGTAGTGTATTACCACATTCCTGTATTAGAACATTTCCATCATCCCAGTAAGTTCAGCTGGGAGCATTTTTTTTTTTTTTAAAGATTTATTGATTTGTGCATACAGAACTGGGGTACAGGCCAGAGGCTCAGGGGCGGCGAGAGGCTTCACCAGAGACGAGGAGCAGAACAGGCAGGTGGACGAAGTACACTGCTGAGGGGAGCAGCGGGCGGGTCAGGAGAGGTCTGCCACGCCATGTGGTCACCTCTGGGGCAGGCGGGAATCGAACTCATGCGGAAGCGGCTTTAGATTCTCAGTGCAGTGCTTTAACGCGCTGCGCCACCAGGGAGGGCCAGGGGAGCATTTTTAACCAACTATTTGGCTTAGATTTATTGGGAAATGGAGGTAACACAGAGGGTATAAATTCTCACACTGTCTCTGCTCCATGCTTCCATCTCCAGTTTTGTCCTCCGGCAGTGTAGCATTTCTGGGATTTTGGCTGCATGTTAACATTTCCAAGTTTACCTTATTTGATTTTACAAGCCTCATTCTTTTGTCTATTCTCCCAAGTATATGAACTCCTAGGATAGACAAATACTCCCCCAAATACATTTACTTCTTGATAAATACCCTCATCAGATAAATTTAACTCTTAGGATTTTTTGTTCTTATTTTCTAGGGCCAGGATCTTTTTTCCTTTTCCAAATGTTTTGCCAGTTATTTTAAGATTATTATTATTTTTTTTCTTTTTAAATACAGTATCTTTAGGTCTATTTTGGAAGACTTTTTCTGGACTAGTCATTCCTATAACCAGAAAAGGAAGTCATCATATTTACCCTTACAACTTTTCTTTTTTTGCTTTTTAAATAATTAAAATATGCCTGTAGTCTTCAAGGCGGATGTATGTGAAAACTTTCAATGAGGCATGCAGAAGACGGTGATTTTAGGGAAATTCATTTCTAAATCTTAAAAAAAAAAATTAGAGACAACATTGGTTTGCCACACTTATGTAATTCAGGGCTTTGGCTCACCCCTCTTCAGGTGCATGTCCCCCCATTACACCTACCATCAAGACACCCATATTTCTCCACCATAGTCCACTGGGCCCCTTTCCCACTTTGTTCTCCCCACACTCACTCCACGTCATAGTCGTCTCAATTCAACAGTCAGATTTTAAGATTTTTTTGGTTTGGTTTTGTCTGACCCTTTCTTTGTTTTTCTATATTCCACATATAAGTATTTGTCTTTCTCCTTCTGGCTTAATTTATTTAGCATAACCCCTTCCAGCTCCATCCATATTGCTGTAAATGGCATGAGATTATTATTACTATTGTTTTTGGTTGCTGAGTAGTTTTCTGGTGTGCATATATTTTCCACATCTTGATACATTCATCTGTTTTGGGTCCATAGCTTAGATATTGTAAATAGTGTTGCAATGCATACAGAAGTTTATACATCCCTTAGAATTAATGGATGATATCTAAGGTAGATACCTAAGGAGTGGACTTGCTGGATCATATGGTGGATCTATTTTTAATATTTTGCGAAACCTCCATACTGCTTTTCTGGGTCAGCTGATCTTCCTACCAACAATGTAGGAAGATTCTGTTTTCTTTCCATCCTCACCAGGATTTGTTATTTTTAATCATATTGACATGGGTCATTGTCATAGAGGTAAGATGTTATCTCATTGTGGCTTTGATTTGCATTTCCCTGATTATAAGTGATTTTAAACAATTTTTTTATGTGCCTGTTGGTCATCGGTCTGTCTTCTTTGGAGAAGTGTTTAAGTTTTTTCCCCATTTTTTGATTAGGTTGTTTTCTTTTTGTTTAGTTGTATGCATTCTTTGTATATCTTTGATACATGCAAGATATTTTTTTGAAAGAGAAAGTTTATATTACATTCAAATACATCACTGCTTGTGTCATTTTATTAATTAGGTGTAAAGATAAGTTTATTTCTCAACCACTAGTGTTTAGAAGTCTTAATGTAGTTAAAAAAAAGCTAGGCATTCCTCAACAGGTCAAGATGCAACAAACACAATTAATTATAAATTTATTTTTTGGACTAAGGAGATTCAGTCTCACTCAGGTTCTTCATATGATCATCCAACTTCAGCAGAAAGTAGGAACACAAATATGCCTTAATTTTGCCAGTATATGTTATTTTTCTTAGTTACAAAATTAATATGCATCTTTAAATTTGATGTTGAAAATAATAAGCCTGCATACACTATTTGTAATTAGCCTTTTTCTAAAAGTATCATGCATTGTCTATTTGGAAATTTATTTATTAGTTATAGATACATTATATTTGCTGATTTCACGGGAAATGCTGTGATGTTCTTATTTACCAAAGTAGAAAATGACAGGAAAAAATTATTTACATAATTTGAATTCCTAGAAAAATAATCAGTTTTCAAACCATATCCTGGAAATGAGGTCAGCACTTTTGAAAACTCAATAATCCTTGGTAGATCAGAACAATTTAAGAAGCAGGAATTTCAAAGAGTCTATGCTCATATCATTTTCTTATTACATTTGGCTCCAGTTACAGGTGTTTCCTCTCAGAATCAGTCTGATCTTTCTTTGTTTTCTGGATGTCTCCCTATAAAGTTAGCCATAAACGTCTCCATTCCAAGATATTTAGCTAAGGCAAGATTCATTTTTGGAGAAATAATTCTAGAGAAAAACAGAGAAAAAAGTTATAACTTTTAAGAGTGTTCAAAGATATTTCTTTTCATAGATCACTTTTGAATTACTTACAGTAAGAGAGGTTGTATTTTATGCCATGCACCTTTGACTAGGTGAAATTTATGATCAAAGAAACAATATTGTCACATTTGCTGTGCACTGTGCAAGTCCAGGAATCTTTGAAATTCCTACTGCCCAGTTTATTTAAGTACTATCCTCACTCACTTTTGTGGCAAGACTATGCTCCTTTATTTACTGGACTAACAAATGGTAGCAAAAACTAGAAAGAAAATCAGAATAATTAAAGCAGATTTTGGGGGTAACTTCCAGGCACCAGTTTTAAATGTTTCTCAGGTGATTCCATTGTATACCCAGAACCATTGCTTTCATTTCTTGGAGATAAATAAACTGGACTTTCCTTCAGCTTAATTCTATATAGATCAGAGCAGTTCAGTTCAACTTAACACAACCCAACAATCATCCAATCACATGCTTTATCTGTGTCCTATACTATACTAAGCCCTGAACATGGAGCAGGAAACATTTTCAAAAAATATGCCTTGTTCTCATGGGGTGACATATCTATTGTATCTAAGCCTCAGATCTATAAATGTGATAAAATGCATGCAAAGCTATCACACAGAGTGGTTTGTGCAGGACACATAGTGAATGTTAAATGTAGTTCTGTAGAAGACAGTAGGCCTGGGCTACAGCCATCTGCAAATACTTCGGAATTCAGTATGACATCCTGTGAAGTTACAGGTGCTCACAAAATAAAATGAGGAACTTTTGAAATATCTTTACTATATTTTCTGGCAACATGCTCTGGGCTTTTTTGTCCTCTATATTCAAAATAAAATTCTACATTAGCTGAACTCAAAGAATTAACCAAAAGAGGTGGGGTGGGGGTCAGTGGAAGGGTACTATTTGTTCCTGTTGAAGTAAATTTTACTTGCAAGGCCAAATGGTTTCTAGATTTTCTCAGTATCTGGAGTAACCAAGTAGATACAATCAGCAAAATTGCAATAAATGGTCCTTACATGATTAGAGTTTTTCGTTTTGTCTTAAAAAAATATGACCCAACAGGTTAGGATGCAGCACTGAAAGTTAGCTACAGTCGCTTCAGTGTGAGTTCCATCCTGGCAGACCTCTCCAGACCGACCCACTGCTCCCTTCAGCAGTGTACTTTGTTGATCTGTCTGTTCTGCTCCCCACTCTGTCTCTGGTGTATCTTCTTACCACCTCTGCATCTCTGACTTGTACCCCAGTTCTGTATGCATAAATAAACAAATCTTTAAAAAAATTATGAAGTTGTTTTTTAGGCAAGAGGCAGCAGTCTGATTGATAGAGAACTTATTAACTTACTCTTTAAGGATCAATGCAAAATTAACAAATTTTGGTATTACTATAAAAACTTCATCTTTCAAAATTCCATTTACAATAGTTTGGGCCACATAATTCTGATCCAGTACAGGCAGCAGAAGAGGGTACCTGGAATAAAAATTATAATAAAAATTATATTAAAAGGGTAGTATTTATTGTTTTCATGAACTCTAGCTATTAAATTTCAGAGTCATAATATACAGCTGTAAATATTCAAACAAAATGTAAATATTAGGAAATGCCTCATGTTTTCTTTCATAATCAAAATTGGGCCCAGTGCCAATACATTTAATATCCTACAGTCAACTCCCTGTCTAAATGGATTTACTGCTATGTGATGATCTGGACATATGGGAGGAATTACTTTTAGATTTCTTTATATTTAGTTTCTTTCTCTTCCACTGAAAACATCAAATAATTGTATATGATGAAAAAACAAAAATGCAAAAATTATTTTAGCAACAAAATAATTGTCATGGGTCTTTATTTTAGCCAGATTGTTTTTACAACACTGAGCAAGGATTAAGTGCTTGTGAAGTCAATAGGAATTCAAACAGTATGGACTCACCAGTTCACAAAAGTATTAGCATTGTATATTTTTATATTACACTTCACTGTTACTTGAACTGTAATCCCTCAAAATATTCTATTTGTCTTAGTTTATTATAGGAATTTGATCAATTTTTTTATAATGGAATGTTGGCAATAAGTCTTGTATTTTATTCTTCCAGAAGTTTCTTAAAACTGTAGCTTAATGGCCCTCCCTGGTGGTGCAGTGGGTTAAAGCACAACACAAAGAAGCTTAAGCCACTTCTTCATGAGTTCGATCCCCGCCTGCTCCGGAGGAGATCCACATGGCGTGGCAGATCTCTCCTGACCCGCCCGCTGCTCCCCTCAGCAGTGTACTTCGTTGCTCTGCCTGTTCTGCTCCCCACTCTGTCTCTGGTGAATCCTCTCACCCTCCCTATCTCTGGCCTGTACCCCAGTTCTGTACAAATAAATAAATAAATCTTTAAAAAAAAAACCTGTAGCTTAAATGATTCTGGATTTATGAAAAGATAATTTTCCAAAGAAAATATACCAATGGTGTAACAGTTACATGAAAAGGTAAACATCACTAATAATTGGGGAAATGCAAAACTAAAACCACCTGCTAGAATAACTAACAAAAAAAAAAAAAAGATAAGTGCTGAGGAGGAACTGGAGAAATCTTGGTCCACTTTTGATAGGAAGGTAATTGTTATACCCAGTATGGAAAACCATAAAGTGGTTCTTTAGCAATTAAAAATAGAACTACCACATGATTCAGCAACCCCACTTCTGGGTATATATTAAAAAAAAAATGAAATCAGGATCTCATATTATACTCCCTTGTCTGTTGTAGTAGAATTCACAATGGTCAAGATGTGGAAACAGTCTAAGCATGTTTTTAATTGATGAATGAAGAAAATGTGAAACAGATTTCTAATAACTAATAGATTAGATAAATTTCATACATTTAATCTATAATGTATTTATATAAATAAATACATATGCACATACAGAAACTGGAATACTAATTAGCTATGAAAAGAAAATCTTGTCACTTGTAACAACCATATAAGCCTTGAAGGCATTATGTTAACTGAAATGTCAGATAGAGAAGGACAGATAACGAATGGTATCACTTATATGTGGAACCTGAAAAGCTGGACTCAGTAGTAGTTCTCCAAAGGCTAAGATTTTTAAGATTTGGTTAATTTATGCATACAGAACTGGGGTACAGGCCAGAAGCAGTGAGAGGCTTCACCCCAGAGACAGAGTGGGGAGCAATAGGCAGATCAACAAGTACACTGCTGAGGGGAGCAGCGGGCGGGCCAGGAGAGGTCTTCCAGGCCATGTGGATCACCTCCGGGGCTGGGGATCGAACTCGCACTGAAGTAGCAGTGGCCACTGGGGATCGAACTCGCACTGAAGATTGCAGTGCTGCATCCTAACCCACTGTGCCACCAGGGAGGGCCCTCTAAATATACTTTTAATGAAGAATTAAATGAAACTAAAGTTGAGAATTATAATAAACAGGTATACAGGCCAGATGGTTTGCAATGATTCCTCCTGAAAAAAAAATTGCTTCAGTTTCTAACTTTAGATGACTTCACTCTATTTTGTTCACTGTGCTCTAGACACAGCTTTCCTTTCAGTTTCTTGAGTATGTCTAGTTCCTTGTAGTCCCAGGGGCTTTACTTGTGATATTTCAATACTCTTTCTATTTACTCTTTGCTAATTTGTATTTATCTTTTGAGTCAGTTTTAGTACACTTCCATTCTAAATCATGTACCTCTTACTCTCTCATATCACTTTAAAAAAAAAAGTCACATTATTATCATTGAGTCTTATGAAGATTGTTATTTTAATAATAATGTTAGAAACAAACAAGAAAATAATTTTTGGAGGAAATATATCTGACCTTAATAAAGACCATACATCGCAATCCCACAGTTAATATCATTAAAAAAATATTTTATTTATTTATGCTTGCAGGAGCCAAGCCAGAGGAGTGGTGAGGGTTGGTGAGAGGGTTCACCAGAGACAGATTGGGGAACAGAACAGGCAGATTAACCCAAATACACTGCTGAGAGGAACAGTGGGAAAGACAGGAGAGATCTGCTGTGCCATGTGGGTCACTTCCTTGACCAGGAATCAAACTCATGCTGAAGCAGCTGCAGATAGCTTTATAGTATTGTGCTTTAGCCCATTGCACAACCAAGAAGTGCACTAATATAATTGTTAATGTCAAGAGGTTAGAAGAGATTGCCAATTCATGTATAAATCAGCAAACGACTGGACTCCAGATTCGTTATCTCTCCACAGGAAGTGGAACTCCACTTCCAGGGAAAAATGCCCTCTACATGCTGCATAGGTTTTTGTGGACCTTTGGTTTAGGGAGTATATGTGGTTCTCCCATGAGAAATATTCTTTCCAATTTATCCTTTTTTGCTGTTTTGTTTTTTTTTTTCTGGGCAAACCATGTTTTGATTGGAATAATTGATTGTTTTGGTTTGAGACTGACATAGTTGGTGGTCCTAATAACTTCTCATGTTGCTGTACAATCAGGTATGGTGGGCCTCCCTGGTGGTGTAAAGGGTTAAAGCACAGCACTTCTATGAAGTTGTCTGTAGCCACTGCAGCACAAGTTCGATTCCCAGCCAGGATGGTGACCCATATGACACAACAGACCTGTTTTGTTTCTCTTGTTGCTCCCCTCATCAGTGCATTGCTGTCAATCTACCTGTTCTGTTCCCCACTCTGTCTCTGGTGAATCCTCTCCCCAACCCCACACCTCTGGCATATATTCCAGTTCTTGCATGTATAAGTAAATACATCTTAAAAAAAAAAAAATCAGGCCTCGTACCCAGAGATCTGCTCAAGCTTATTGCTTTCTCAATGACCTTGGGTCTCAGGGTCACTATTCTCCTGGGTTCGAGACCCCCTAGGTTGGTGTGATTTCTCCTGTGCTTATTTGGAAATTTTGCTGATTATTAAATTTGGGATATCACCCCTGGCTTACAACTATTCTTTCAGTGGTCTGGGTTATTGCAGTGAACTTACGTCAACTATGGGCAGATTCTTTGAAATTAGGTAGCTTTCATTAGAATAGTGCTGCTTTTCAATTCAATCCATTAGCGACAGCTTCTCCCAACCGTGTTGTGCTGTGTGTATGTGTGCTTGAAAATTACACTTAATCCATTTGTTCTGAGAAACATTCTATCTGGGGAGTTGTGCTGGTTTTCACTTGGAAGCAGGCTATTCCATTAGAAATTTGTGCATTTGGGTGAGTACTCAGATTAGCACTAATTTGATAAAGAAAGCTTGTTTCTTTATTGGAGATCAAACATTTTTTGGTAAAAAGTCAAGTTCACTCATCCTCTGATTTCCTTTTGGAGATAGGGTCACCTATAAAGATTCAGGGCTTTTGGGGAATTTCTGGGAGCAGTGGCAGCAATAACAACAACAACAACAACAATAATAAAAATAAAAAATGGGACTTCAGTCATTTAAGTGTTTTGGGAGTGTTTCTCCTTTAGATATTATACTAAAATACTCCTGTTCTTCCATGTACAGTTCTAAGTGGACTGAATTTACTAAAAGTAACTCAGAATTCCAGTGGTCACTAGGGACAACTTTTGAATACCCCACACTTGCTTTTCTCAAAAACATAGTGGACAGCTATGGCTTTCAATGTACTAAAACTGAGTGGAAAACCTATTTCAGTTGGTATCTGGAGGCCTTCAATTGCTACCAAGAGTCTAAAATTTCCTTTTGGTAAAGTAAAATTTGAATTAACAGAGGCAAACAAAAAAGATGAAAAATACTTCTGCAAGTCTTTTAACCTCCTTCTCCTCCCCTACTTTCCCTGAACTGCACTTGCAGCAACAACAGACAGGTACACAGGCCCTGTCTCTCATACCACTTCTGTCTTCATTTTCTAGGACACCTACCTCCATTCTGAGCCTCAGTCTACCCAGGCGATTTCTTTTTTGAACTATCCCCTTTAAAGACTTCTTTTTTGTGCTTTCTCTCAGAATTCATCCAAACTTATCCATTTCAACTTAAGCTTTCTGAAGATCAGAAAAATCTCAGATTGCCTAAGTTCCATGGACTAAAGAGCCATAATGACACAGTTTCCTAAGGAGATTGAGGACCTTCATAAGTTTGCAGAACATAGCTGGGTTTTTTTCTGAACTATACTCATCAACTCAAATGTCTGATCCCTCATAAAGATCTGAAAGAAACTTTGGTTATGACAACATCTCAATGGAATATTACTCAGCAGTAAAAAAGGATAAACTCATGCCTTTTGAGGCAACATGGATGGAGCTGGAAGGGATCATGCTTAGTGAAATAAGCCAGAAAGAAAAAGAAAAATACTGGATGGTTTCACTCATAGCAGGAGCATAAAGGATCAGGGAAAAACCAAAAAGAGAGACAAACAAAGGTAGTAGAGTAAAAAAATGAAAAAAAAAATGAACAACTATAGATCAGAGACATTTTAAGGGGGTGGAAGGGGAATGGGATCAGAACTTGGGTGGGAAGAGTGCACTGAGCTGTGGTGTTTGCACATGGGTGAATTGGCAGTGGGAAGCCCATGGGGTTTACAACTGAGATAAAACAAAATGCACAAAATGAAAATTATTTTATATATATATATATATATATATATATATAATGAGGACATCTTATGGGACACTGCTGATTCATATTTTAAAGGCAAAAAAAAAAAAAGGAAATTGTACTGGGTATGCAATATCAACACTCTTTGAGTTAATGGGAAGGGGTCTTTGCTTGTGGTATATACAGCCCAGCAAGTCACATTATGTGTGAATACAACACATAGGCCTGCCTCTAGCCAAAGACAAAGCTGGTTTGGAAAACATATATAGCCTTTGATCATGTACTTTCAAGAAGGTTCTTATATTTTAGCAAATAGCATCTGTTACACAGGAAGTCAGTAAATTCTTGAAGTGTTTCTTCACTTTTCACATTGCTTCCCTTTTTCTTCTTCTATCTTGCTTCTTTGTGTACTTGCATCATCATGTTCACTGATTTACTCTTCCATTTTATTCTGGTCCATATGTTTTTACAGTATTTTTCATTTTCTCTATTAATCTTTTTACATCCTGCATCTCCATTATTTGCTTATTTAGATTATCATGTTTGATCTTCTGTTGGCTGATTTCATTTTTCAGGACATTTATTTGCTTTCTAAGTTTTCTTGGCTGTCTGACATACTGTGTTATTTACATTTCTTTTTGATGGCCAGCTTAGATACTGTTATTTGATAGGAGAAATAGATTTTCTATTTCTTTGGGATTGGGTTCTGGACATTTGTTCTCTTAAGGACCTCCTAAGGACTCATGGGGCTGTGTATTTTGTTTCTCCATTCTTTGTTCTCAGGGCCCTGCTGCTGTGGATTGAACTTCTGCTGGGTGTGGCTCCACCACCCATACTGCCCTGGTGCGCTCACTGGTGAAGCCTAGGGGTCCCAGGTGCTGTTTGTGGCCTTTGGTAGCTTTCTCTGGGGAAGACCCTGTCTCCCAAAGTGTTGGTTCTAGATCTGGGGCCAAGGGTGTTCATCAGAGTTTGGTTGGGTGTTACTAGCTTTAGGAACCAGTTCTTGTTAGCTTTGTTTGGGGTGGATAAGACCTCCCCTTTGCAATACTCTTTACAACAGCTGAGCAATGGAAACATCTCAAGTGTCTAAATACAGGTGAAGTGGATCAGGAAGATGTGGTATATAAATAAAATGGAATACTATTCAGGCAGCAAAAAGATAACCTCTCCATTTGCAGCAACATGGATGGAACTTGAAGAGATAATGCTAAGCAAAATAAATCAGATACAGAGGGACAAATACTGAATAATTTCACTTATATGTGGAATATAGAAAAAAAAACAGCAACAAAGGGTCCGATAGCACCAAACTAACAATAGCCCAGAAAGCTTACTCTAGAACTGAGACTACCAGAGTGGGGAGGAGAAAAGCAAGAGCACTGTGGACTATGATGGTAGAAATGAAAGTTTGGTGGTAGGTGTGGAGGGAGGAGCACAATGGACTATGATGGTGGAAATGAGAGTTTTAGTGGTCGGTGTGATGAATTAACCATACCTGAAGGGGGAAATCATATAAACAATGTTTTAAACAAATGTTACCTTACTAACAAAGAAACAAAGAAAAATCAGAGAAATCTTTTGCATCCTATGTACAAATGACAAACTAGAAAAGAATGAAATAAAACATTCTCATTTATCTTCCATAAAAAAGAGTCAAACTTGCTAGAAATAAACTTAACAAAGGAGGGGAAGCATATATGCAATAAAAACTATAAAACATTGTTAAAAGAAAGAGATGAAGTCACACATACAAATGGAAAGATGTTTCCTGCTTAAAGGTTGGAGGAAATAACATTGTTAAAATGGCCACTTTAAATTATCTAAACTATTTGAACTTTAGATACTTTTTATCTAAATTATCTAATATAATATACAGACTCAATGAAATCTGTGTGGATTTCTACCTTCAGTTATATATGGCATTATAATAAAACTGTTACCTTAATGAGAGTAATATATTAAAAAAATTAAGATTATTTTTAATGCGGTGATGCTGAATTAATGCTTGGAGAGGACTTTGAACAACCTGCAATTTAGACAACATAGATTTAGTGAAGAACCCACAGATGGGCCCTCCCTGTGGCTCCATGGTTTAGGACTCAGCACTGCAAGCTGGCTGCAGCCATTTCAGTGCGAGTTCCATCCCTAGGCCCTGAGGTGATCCACATGGTGCCGCAGACCTCTCCTGACCTGCCTGCTGCTCCCCTCAGCAGTGTACTTTGCCAGTCGGCCTGTCCTGCTCCCCACTCTGTGTCTGGTGAAGCCTCTCACAGCCCCTGATCCTCTGGCTTGTACCCCAGTTCTGTATGAATAAATAAATAAATCTTTAAAAAAAAGAACCCACAGGTATTTCCAACTTTCACATGCCTTTCCTCTGAAGTGGGATATGAAACCTAGGAAAGGTTTTCCTAGCACAGGGAGACATGAGGACATTAAATCCAGAAGATACTTAATCATTGATTAGCCTTGATTTTAGAGAAAGATCTAGATCATTAAGGGGAAATGTGAAAAATAGTAGATAAATTTCTGTTTAAATATAGTTGGGAGGCTAAAAAGAGAAGGTCTAGGCTTGTATAAGTCAGCAAACTTCAGGACTCTGAAAAAATAATTCTTTGATTAATTTTCTTACATCATTGTTAATTTTTGGACATAATTTGATTTCTCCCCGTAGGTTCTCCTATCACCTCAGTTCCTTATGTTCTTCCCTTCCCTGTTTTGATCTCTCTTGCCTGCTCTATGCCTCAGGCTATGGTCAACTTGTACATTTTGCCTTTTTCCTAGCCCTTTGTTCATAAATAAAGCCACACATACCCACATAGATACACATACACACACATACATACACACAAATGAAGACACACACACATACAGACATACACATACACACATGTACATATATGATAGTTGTGGTCAACCAATCTATGACAAAAGAGCAAAGAATATTCACTAGAGCCAGGAAATTCCCCTCATAAATGATGCTGGAAAAATGGAGGAAAGACTTGAATGTAAAACTGGAGCTGTAAAATATATAGGCAAAAGACTCCATGACATACCTCAGAAACATCTTTGAGGACTCATCCCCAGAAATAAGGAAAACAAAACAAAAGAGAAACGGCTGGACTATGTCAAACTAAAAAGCTTCTGAACAGAAAAAGAGACAGTCACCAAAATGAAAAGACACCCCACTAATGTCTTGCATCTTTGACATGTCACCTCACTCCTGTGAAAGGAAGAAAGTCTGCCAGAGGCTGTGTAAGTTTTGGGGTACGTACCTTTGATTCAGGGAATTAACTGTGAATCTTAATATTTCTGTAACATGCACTTTCCAATAATTCCTTTCTGTAGTTTGTTTCTCAATAAATCTGTTTGTTTCAATAACTGAGTATGTTAGTTTGAGGTCAACACTGTACATATTTTAAAACTTTAAAATGAAAAGAGGATAATGAATATAGACTGAAAGATTATTATGAGAGCAAAGGCTATTTTAGGAGTTCACTTACTTGGTTACACAGCCCGCAAACATTCCAGTTCCAATGAAAAATGGGCAAACAATTGTGGTTTTAATGTTAGTTTTCTTTGTCAATGTTAATTCATAAAAGAGAGCCTCTGCCAATCCATAAGCCGCAAATTTGCTTGCACAATAATCTGAAACAAAGTGAGTGGCTATTAGAAATAGAATTTGAAAAGTTAATTCTAGGAATTGTTTAAATTTTGAAACTTCTTTTTCTTGCTCTAGCTTATCCTTGGGGACAAAGCATCCCTGCTGACATCATTTATGTGGTCAAACATTTTACTCACTAAATACCCAGCAAGATATTATTTCCACGTCTGTTAACCTAAGAAGATCAAGGAATAAGTAGGGATAGCCTTTTCTTTATTTTTTAAAAAGAAGAGAATATCTGCCCTACCATTATCACTTAAGATAAGGAAATGGAAAAGAATGTCAACATTTTACATATAGTGAAATGTACTGTTGAGTTTCCTTTGGTGTAGAAACAGTGCCCTGTATTTTGGAGGAGCGCAGATTTTTTTGGTGCTATGGGATGTGAACTACAAGGTACGTGGTGAAGTACTCACCCACCAGACCACTGGTCCCAATTTTCCCTGCCACACTTGAAATACAGACCAAGTGCCCACGGTTAGCTTTAAGCATGGCAGGCAGGAAGGACTTGTAAGTCTAGAAAATATAAAACAATTGTGTCAATATTTTATTCATTTTTTATTTCATTTGCTGAAAGAGTGATAGATTTAAAAATCTCTTTAGTAAATATTTAACACAATGTATTAAATTTGGTGACAGTATAGAATATTCACTAATATTGAATAATCACTCTTGGAAATTTTTTTTTTAAAGATTTATTTATTTGTGCATACAGAACTGGGGTACAGGCCAGAGGCTCAGGGGCGGTGAGAGGCTTCACCAGAGACAGAGTGGGGAGCAGAACAGGCAGATCTATGAAGTACACTGCTGAGGGGAGTAGCGGGCAGGTCAGGAGAGGTCTGTGGTCACCTCCAGGGCAGGCGGGGATCGAACTCATGCGGAAGTGGCTTTAGATTCTCAGTGCTGTGCTTTAACCCACTGCGCCACCAGGGAGGGCCACAAAGCCTGCTTTTTTTCTGATATGCTGAGATCCTCTATGAAGTTTTTAGCAATTTATATTAAATATTAATGATCTTCATCATCCTAAGTTTATCATAAATAAGATTTTCCTTCACTCCACTAGGTTGGCAGATTATGAAAACTAATCTCTGTGAGAAAAGGTGGATTTCAAGGCAAGGAAAACATATTCTGGTAATAAAGTGCTTTGAAAATGTCTACAATGATTAGATATATTCTTGCCTATTTTTGGTAAAATTCATTCACTCATTCTCAAGTAAGCTATTATTTCAGTGTTCTGTGTCACCATGCCATGAAATGTCCAAATTCGGTCACCTGTACTTTTTAGGAGGATTTTTCCATTCAGTCTTCCCCAAAATTGGTTCTTTTTTTCCCCACAAGATTTTTTTTCTTCAAGTGTGTCTGTATATTTGTTTTTTAGCTGAGATAGAAGCTGCTGCTAGTTTTCTCATTCTAAATGGAAACATTTTTCTTTTAGAGGAAATTGGCTAGGTATTTCAAATGTCTGTGTCAATGGAAGAATTTTTAAGGCTATCCTGTTGATAGAAAATTAATTTAACATAGAAACCCATCATCTTTCTCACTTTATAGGTATCTATTATCAAAGGCAAGAAAACAATACACATAAATGACTGGAGAGTAAGCTGTCAATATATACTAATGAAACATTTTGTAAGGCATTTTGTGAAACTTTTTTTAAAGATTTATTTATTTATTCACACAGAACTGGGGTACAAAGTCAGAGGTTCAGGAGCGGTGAAAGGATTCATCAGAGACAGAGTGGGGAGCAGAACAGGCAGACTGATGAAGTACACTGCTGAGGGGAGCAGCGGGCAAGACAGAAGAGGTCTGCTGCATTATGTGGATCACCTACTGGGTGGGGGATTGAACTCACATTGAATTGGTTGCAGCTAGCTTGCAGTACTGCGTCTTAACCTGTTGTGCCATCAGGGAGGGGCCACATTTATGTTTTTTAAAATATTTATTATTATTTTTAAAGATTTATTTATTCATGCTTACAGAACTCGGGTACAGGCCAAATTTGTGGTGGGTGAGATGATTCACCAGGGACAGAGTGGGGAATAGAACAGGCAGATTGACAAAGTACACTGCTGAGGGGAACAGCGGGTGGGTCAGAAGAGGTCTGCCATGCTATGTGGGTCAGCTCCCTGGCCGGGAATGGAACTCATGCTTCAGAGGCTTCTGAGAGCTTGTTGATGCAGTGCTTTAACTCATTGTGCTACCAGGGAGAGCCTGATTTATTAATTTTAACGTACAGAAGAACTAGGGTGTGGTCAGAAGTGTAGGGGATGAGAGGTCAGAGGTTTGGGGGGTGAGAGGATCCCCTAAGGACAAACTGCAGAACTGAACAGTTATTTACTGAAATGCACTACTGAGAGGATAAGCTGGTGAGGAGAGGTCTACTGCACCATTTGGGTCATTTCCCTGGCCAGGGATCGAACTTAGGTATCTCAGTGACATCTCTGAGACTTGACACTTACATCACTAGGGAGGACCCTATTTTTTGAAATATTTTTAACTGAGAACTCAGGAGAGAGTTTACTACATAATGAGATTTTTTGCTAAGGTCTATATAATAACAACTCTATCTTTTTTCCTGACTTAGATATAATGCAAAGTATTTGCATTGAATTTGCCAGAATTTGCTTGAATTTTATTTCATAGAATTTGCTATAAAACTTGATTTTTTTCCTTATGAAAAATCCTAACTTTTAAAATTTTTTTCACAATGGTTATGTGTCATATAAATTATAATTTCCAAAAAATAAAATCAGGGCATAAAATCAGGGTATTCATTTTAATTGGTTTATAACAAATGATGAATTTATTGTAAAATACAGGTTTGACGTCTTGAACTTTATGCAACTTTATGTCACCAGTGAATGTGTTACTCTATAGTGCCAATTTAAATGGCATCAAGACTTTTGGATAATAAAATGTTAGGTAAGTTTATAGGAAATCTTTGGTTACTCATAAATAAGATTTTTAGATAATAAAGTTGGGTTAGTTTATGGAAAACTTTGGGCACTCATAAAATTTCAAAAGAAACTGAATTCATAGAGCAAAGGTTTAGAGTCACCTAGCAGAGTTTTTACTTTTTTTAAATTTGAAATGAAAAGGTAAGTTTGATGTGGCATATACCATTTTCTTCTAATACAAGGATAAAGTTAACTACATTTTAAAATAGTGATTTTTTGTCATATAGGCCTATGTATATTTTTATATGTTTCGGGTCATACACATGCTTATTAAAATAAAAAATATTTATACATTATAAAGTAAGGGGGCATGGGAGCTTAAAATTGGCCTTGTAATATTTAGTCTGCTGTAAATAAGGGTATTAAAAGCTATATTATTTCTCATTTTTTAAAAAACTATTATTTTTTATTGGGGTAACATTGATTTACAACACCAAATATGTTTCAGAGGTATAGTGTCACACCACTTCAGTATTTGTTATATGGTATACCACTAAGATAGCCATCACCCACTGGGCCCCTCCACATTTTTCTTCCCACTATCACTGGGGGAATTTATTTTATTATTATTTTATTATTATTATTTTTTTTTATCACTGGGGGAATTTAAATGTGGCCAATGGTGTATTTTCTGCTGGCCATATAAAGAAGTTATTTCTTCTCATCTGGTAGGTAGTTAAAAGGCTATTTTTTTTTCCCTTTGTGTAATTGCCCAGAGACCAGAGGGTCTTATCAGAATACTTTGAACCATTGGCTTACTTTTGTCATGCTATTGAGTTGTTGAGGCAAGTAACAAAAACTTGTCACATTTGAAAGTTCTAAGTCCTTGGTGAATTCTATTTTAACCTCAGTTACATTATATTTAAAGGCACAAGCAAACTTCTATCACTTAAACAATTAAGTTATCCAATATTCAGCTCAGTTGTTTAAAAAATAAAGTGCTGGAGGTGTTACTGTATTCACGGTCATTGTGAAACAGTTTCTGGCTAGGTAGACAGAATAGAGGTCTTGCAGAAAGTGGTCAAAAGAAAATGACAGAAAAATGTGTCTGTGAGCAGGAGACCAGCCTGTGACAGGCGACCACCAAAAAGTGTTTGCTAAGAAGAGGGACAAAGGTGACACCGCTGGATTTAGGCTGTGAGTGTTAATCTCTAGAAAGTTCCCTCCCACACTTCTAGCTGCCTGTACCTTCCTCTTAGCAAGCTACCTCCAGGGACATGATTTGACAGATAATCTGCCCCTTGGGGACCTGGAAAAAAGCCCTAGAAAGAGTACCTGTGGGGTACTGTGTTTTCAGGGCTCCCTCCCTGTCTTTGCCAGGAGCTTTCTGCATTTCTATTGCTAAATAAATTCACTAACAGTCACTTCTAGTGGTCCATGTCCTCAATTTTCATGGCAGAAGAGAAGTCATCGATTCCCAGTAAAATTCTTGATTCTTATTCAGTGACCAAAGTCCCCAAGTTATGTTACCATGGTTGAAATTCATGACATGGTAATCAGTATCAATAGGGATGTGAGACACAATGGTGTGTACTTATAGTCTTCACATTTCTTAAGTAACTTAGTTCTATTTTAGGACTGGGAAATACTGTTAAATCAAGAAAGAGAAACAACCTTTTTTAGCACATTTATCAATATGAATGAATATGTTTTAGCAGAGGTTTTATACTTGCCAGGATGAACAGAAGGACTCTGAGGATTTGTACAGCTCTCTCTGTAATATTAACTATATGTATATGAATTTGTTATGTATTATTCCCTAACAGATTTCTGTTTTCTCTGATTGATATTTTTGGTTGCTGAAACAAACTAACCAGATCCATTTGATCTGTCACCGATAGGTTTTTGGACACCTGTTAGCTTGTCTGAAGACTCTGGTGCTATGAGCCAGAAATTGTGTCTTGGAGAAATACAGTAAACAGGAAGACATACTCAAAGTCATAGAAAGGACTGTGACAAGGGATCAACTCCCTAGTGTGAGTGTGAGCTGGTATTGGCATGGTATGGTGACCCTCAGAAGACCACATCAGGGATGAGACAGGTCCCCAGGACCTTACTAGCCCAGAAACATTTGACAGTGTGAAAGCAGACTCTGACTAGGATTCAGCAGAGTTAATATCAGACTGCATTATGGAATCAGTGGGGAAATGTAAATGAGGCTAATGTTGTATTTTCTAATGGGCATATAAAGAACTTTTTCTTCTTGATCTATTTAAAATTATTTTCAATGAAAAAACTATAGTTCTCTAGTCTACAATCAAGTTCTTTTTGAAAGGTATCTCATTCCAACAGAACCCTTGACTTTAGGGATAATCTCTTTGGAAACTCTTAGTGTAATTCATAATCTAACAAATCCTCAGAGGAAGATAAGGGTAATGTAATTGCAGTTCTGGATTTTGGAGTTCAGATGAATGTCTACACAATGACTTAAGCTTAGATACTTAAAGCAAACTGATGAGAAGGCCTTATCCTCAGACTCCAGTAGACAGGGTTCTGCCTCTTGCTCCCTCCTGCATGTCTTCCCAGGTTCTGCTTCCAGTCACCTATGCCCTCTGTATAGCCCACTCCTGCTATTGTTCATACCACCTCAGCTTCAACTCCCCGAGTAACTCAGTCTCTTTTAGCCTACATTTTCTCTGTTCTGTGTGGTTATTTGTGTGTAAATTTAAATAATTTGATTACATAAAATTAAAGAAATTAATGCCACAGCTCCATCAATCACATTTCAAATTCTCAACAGCCATAGTCACAGCAGCTGCCACATTGCACAGAAGCACAGAAAAAGAATACTGTCATCACAGTGAAAACTGGACAGTGACAGTTATATGAGATACTCCAGGCCTCGAGGAAGATATGCTTGAGCTGTAAATTTACATGTTATTTTTCCTTTCTTTTTTTTTTAAGATTTATTTTATGTATGCATACAGAACGGGGGTACAATCCAGAGGGTCAGGGGCGGTGAGAGGATTCACCAGAGACAGATTGGGAAGCAGAACAGGGAGACTGACAAAGTACACTGCTGAGGGGAGCAGCAGGTGTGTCTGGAGAGGTCTACCATGCCATGTGGGTCACTTCCAGGGTCGGGGATCGAACTCACATTGAATTGGTTGCAGCTAGCTTGCAGTACTGCATCCTAACCCATTGCGCCACCAGGGTGGGCCTTTATATATATTTTTTATAAATAGTTTCTTCTTTCTCTCTTGTTTCTGACTTTTCTGAGCTTGGGCTATCAGTAATGACTGTAGCATAACAGAGTAATCCCCTGGAAAAAGGGCTCTAGATTCCCTGGCCCACCTAAGGATGGGTCAGCTAAGTAAGAAGACAGACGAGAGATGTGGAGAAGGAAGGAGAGCAAGAAGAGGAAGCATGTGGAGCAGGGATACATGTAAAGAAGCTGCACTTGATTTTGGGCCTTGGACTGATATATGGCACTTGGGCGATGTGGACAGAGACATTTGAGAGACAGACATGGGTGAGAGATCCAGGGGAGGCTGACAATGGCAGCCTTTGCCTTGACTTGGGTTTTGAGTGTGTTCCTTTTGTCCCAGACTTGTCTATCCCTTTTCAATGTTGACCCCCACCCCCCAAACCCTACCCCCAAGAAGGCCTTAGACTGTGGTAAATTTTTGGGCCCTGTTTTGGGTCAACCCAGTTTGGCTGGACATTTACCCATGAGGGGATGGGTAAATTTGGGTTCTTGATTTGGGAACTAATTCTTTCTCTTTTTCTTCTCTTCCCTTTATTGCACAATAATTGTATTAAAGTTCTTTTCTGTGAAGGTCTTATGTACTAGAGTATGATTTGTCTTGATGTGGCAGATGACAGGACCCATTTATAGCAGGTAGGCTTGTGGGGGGGGGGCCTTGGGGTGCTTCTCACCCTGCCATATAACATTAAGACCTTGGATAAATCACTTAAAATTTTGAGCCTCAGTTTCTTTCTTTGTAAAAGCAGGAAAAAACATGGCAGTATCATCACCTTGTGCAGGAATAGAACTTAAAGCTGTGTCTGATCAGAGCATTAAAATGCTGCTAATAGTTATTCTTCTTGTTATTTCCTTTGTTGTGATGCCCAATCAGGCACCATGCACACCACCACTCAAAAGACAGCACCCCTTGTGCACAAGCAGAGGGAAAGGTCCCACCCCGAAAATTTGGAATAGGTCAAAAACATGAAAAACGAGTTGACAGATTGGCAAAATGATACCTGGAGAGGAGGGGAGCCCATTAGCTTATTTCTGGAAACACAAATACTTTATTTCCAGCTACATGGCTGAACATTGCGCATAGAAGTACAGGGAATTTCCATGTTCAGCAGCAAAAGAATGAAAAAGACTTACCCAGATATGAGACATCACATTGACAAGAAACGATTTTTCCACCATGTGATCTGGGATATCAAGGAAATACTTTCCTGACACAATGCCAGCGTTGTTAATGAGGATGTTCACATCACCGACTTCCCTTTTTACCTGCACACAAGTGAGATCAATGTGATTTCACTCAAGGTGTTACAGTTTGAGATTTCCAGGTCATTCTTTCCTGCCCTCATTTTATTCGGGTAATTTCTTTAAAATTAGGGATTTTATTTTTACCTTGCATAGGGAAATTCATCATTTTAAAGGTAACTTTATAACTCATATTTAAAAAACACATTGATTTGCCAAAAACACTTGATTTTGTGTGTTTCAAAATGATTTGATATTGCATATCCTATTTCTTTTTATCAATTGTCCTTTCCTGCTGGCCACAGGGCCAGTGATGTTGTCTGGTGATGTTCATTTCTGTTTCTTCACACCTTCCTTTAGATAGCAGGTATGTCCTCATCCATGTGGTGATTTCTGTAGGTGTCATCTTGGCTCCTTGTCAGTGAGGTATTAGGAACACATCTTATTCTTCTTAGAGCTGGCTGTGGCTTGACACGAAGACATTCCAAACACAAATGTTTTGATCCCATTGCCCATAGATCTCTGACTATTACTTCTGTCCCACAGTGCTCCATAATGGAATTACTGTCGATGGCTGATGATTCTCTGAGTTCAGCAACTGAGCCTCTTTTGTCCTCAGCATCTTCCTTCACCCTCCCTTCTTTATTTTTTATTTTAAAGATTTATTTTATTCATGCTTCCAAAAACTAGGGTGTAGGCCAAAGGTGGGGGTGGTGAGAGGATTCACCAGATTGAACTCAGGCCTTAGAAGTGATAGCACTGAGAGTTAACCCCTAGGCCACAAGGAGGCTCTTCCCCCTCTCTGCACTGCCTGCTTTGCCTATTGGCGTAGTCCACACTAAGTCATTAACCTCCTCAGAAAAATGTGTTCCAGGAAATATGGTAAAACTTGCTTTTCTTTCTTTTACTGTTTTGTCTCATATTCTGACTTTTTAGCTAACCCAAGGCCAAAGTAGTAAGTAAACAGTAATTTGAAGGTTTTTTTTTTTCCTCCTGAACTGTGTCTTTAGTGCTAATATCATAGTCTGGTTTTCTAAAATTTATTTGTTTTCAGATAGAAAAGCAATACCTGCTTTGTCTTGATTTTCTAATCTAGTCCATGTTTTGTGTTGAGCCTTATCTGTGTCCAAATAATATATCTGGGAGACATCAGGTAAATATTGTTTCTGATGTAGTTCAACACGCTGTGAAAGACAAGTAATGTTGCTGGGCTGATGAAGGGCTAAGAGAGTGGATTTCTTCACTTGGGAGTAAGAAAAACAGGAAAAAATCCCTGAGAGATTAACTTTTAAAGAACATCCCAATGGCTTTCTAAAGGGAATTTATGTAGGTAATGAGATTTAATTTTCATTGTAATTATGAGAATTTAGGAAATCATTATTATCTCAGTTTATAGATGAGGAGTCAGGTTCTGAGAAATTAAGGTTTTGGCAAAATATACACGGATTTTTAGAGAATAAGTGATTAACAATTTGAGTCCATTCATAAAAATCCACCAAATTTACTACTCTGTGGCCAAAATGATTATTCATAACAAATCTCACAAGTATGCTTGTGGACACACACAGAGAAATTCAAGAACTGATTTACCTGCACATGTGGGAATAAAGTATGAATTTCTGCTCAAACTTTATAAAAATAATTTGTGTACTAGTTTTCTAAGGTGGAGATGATAATATTACCTAAACATAATTTGGGACATTAGTTACTCTCTTCCTTTGAATGCTGGTATTCATCTCTCCCACAAATTTCAAGGATTCAAGTAACATTCATGGTTGTTGAAATTTTTGCAGGTAAAGTATAATAACAATATTTTGGTTTCTTGGGAGTTGAAAGCAATTGAAATTAAACAAAAATGCAGATAAGGTAGTTGACTTAAAAGAGTTCTATTTATAGGGTTGTGAGAAAAGAAAATAATTTTAAGATACAATTCAGATGGTAAAAAGATAATTTTTGGTTAATGATTTTGGTTTGGTGTTTTAGTAGGAAGAAAGAATATTTTTAAAAAGTAGGACTAGTTTTTCCTTGAACTTTGCAGGTGATCAAAATACTTTTGATCCAAGGAAGAGGATTATAAAGGAATCTTTATAAAAATTAATTTATCTTTTTGGGCAGAAGAGCTAAAAAGACAGTACTCCAAAGAGGAAATGAAGATGGCCAACAGGCATATGAATAAATGTTCAACATCACTAGTAATAATAGAGATACAAATTTAAACCACAATGAGACACCACCTCACACTAGTAAGAATGGGACACCTTAAGACAACTAGCAACAACAAATGTTGGTGAGGATTGGAGAAAAAAAGAATTCTCCTACACTGCTGGTGGGAATGCAAACTAGTACAACCACTATGGAAAACTGTTTGGAGGTTTCTCAAACTGCTAAAAATGGAGTTTTCATATGACCCAGCCATCCCACTCCTGGGTATCTACCTAAAAGACACAAAAACACTGATTCAAAAAGTCACCTGCACTCCCATGTTTATTGTTGCTTTATTTACAATAGGAAAGACATGGAATCAACACAAATGCCCAAAAGTAGATGACTGGTTTAAAAGATGTGGTACATATACACAGTGGGATATTACTCAGCAATCAAAAAAGATAAACTCATGCCTTTTGCAGCAACATGGATGGAGCTGGAAGGGATCATGCTTAGTGAAATAAGCCAGAAAGAAAGAGAAAAATACCAGGTGGTTTCACTCATAGCAGGAGCATAAAGGACCAGGGGTGGGGGTAATAATCATAAAGAACAACTATATACCAGAGACATTTTATGGGGGTGGAGTGGGGAATGGGATCAAAAATGGGGGGGGGTGCAGTGCACTATGGTGATGGCACACGGGTGATTTGGTGATGGGAACCTCATGGGGATTGCAACTGAGATGGAAAAAGGCACAAAATGATGTAAAAATAAACTTTTATATCATTAAAAATTAATTTATTTTTAACTGAAATAATATTAGGGTACGCCTAGGTATTGCCATTCTGGCAATCCTACCACCCACTCACCCATATTCTATCATCATAGAATAATGCTCTTTCTTCCTTCCACCACCTTCTCCACCCCTGGTGCTTTAGTTCTATAGCCTGCTATCAAGGGCTATTTTTCATTGTCTTTACCTGACTATTAATTTAGTTACTTTATATTCTATGTGTTAGTAAGACCATTCAGCATTTCTCTCTTTCTGACATATTTTGCTTAGTATTAACTTTTCAAGCTCCATCTATTTCACTGCAAATGATATGAGTTTATATTCCTTGATCCCTGGATAATATCCTATTGTGTATATTTATCATATCTTCTTGATCCACTCATTTGTTACTGGGATACTTTGGTTATTTCCGTAGTTTAGCTATAGTGAATAGTGCTATACTAAACAGGGCTGTACAAATTTCCTTTAAAATTAATGTTTGTGAATTTTAGGGGGTAGATGCCTAGAAAGGATAGATGCCTAGAGTGGAATTATTGGTTGAATATCAGATTAATTTTTAAAACGATTCATTTATTTATTCTTACAGAACTGGGGTACAGGCCAGAGGTATAGTGGGTAAAAGTATTCACCAGTGACAGAGTGGGAGCAAACAGGCAGATCTACTGAAATACACTGCTGAGGGGAGCAGTGGGTGGATCAGGAGAGGTCTGCCATGCCATGTGGGCCGGCTTCCTGGCCAGGGATCAAACTTGTGCTGCAGTGGATTCAGGGAGCTTTATAGTGCGGTGTCTTAACTTGTTGTGCCACCAGGGAGAGCCCACATATTAGATCCATTCTTAATGTTTTGAGAAACCTCCCTAGTGCTTTCCATGAGGGTTGCACCAGTTTGTTTTCCTACCTACGAAGGGGCCTTTTCATTGCTTACATATTCATTGATGCAGCCTGACCTCAGATGTCAGGAAGATGATATCTTAGCAGAGCTGTATCACTTCTCTGCTCTATGATATGGGCAAATTTATCAAGTTCTCTCTATCTCAGTTTCATTATCAGTGAAATGGACAAAGTACCTACTTTACTATGAAAATTATAGATGATAAAACTTCTGGATAAGTTCTCTTATCTTATCTCCCTATTGGGTGGCAGCACTGGAACAGGAGTTCCTTTGAGTTCACCACACAGACATTTTTCTGTACACCTTTCCTGGCACATTGCCCCCCTTTTGCAAATAAGAACTAACTTTGATTGCACGTGTTCTGTTCTATATAGTCTACAGGGGTATATAGTATACCTAGCCTCAGCAGCTGGTAATGAATCACCAGGAATGACTCCTGTGGGGTCCCAAGCAAAGAAGTAAGCAACAGAAAATGAAGAGTGAAGAAGATGGTTCAGAAGGTAATTGTCACAAAGTAGGAATTCAGTAAATATTGTAATGAATAAATTAATTCACTTTGGAACTCAGTTATCAAAGGGAAGTAAAATCTCTTTGGGAATTCTGTTATCCGACTGAGTCGTAAGCACATTTTTAGAACAGCGTGCAGTGATAAAAGAGTAAATTTTGATTTCAAGATACCTGTGTTGGAATTTGGCTAGACTACAAGTTTTATAAACTTGGACAAGTTGCATCTTCTCTGTTTCTCAATTGTAAATGGGGATAATAAAGTTTATACCGAAAGGGCTGAGTTGTGCTGACTAAATGACATATTATGTTAATTACATGAGTTTTTGCATCTATCAATAACTTAGAAAAATAGCTAGTTGTGATATTTTTGTTTTTGTTTTGTCTTGTTCTATCTTTACACATTTTTGAGGTCTTGCAGGGCAATTTACCTCTTTGAACAGATGGTTAAGTGACACTTGTCATGTTTTCATATTCTAAATTATGATACTTTTACCACAGTTGTCCCAGGGTCAGGTTCTAGGTAACCAGGTTGGGGAAAATCTCAACACCACACAACTCACTGACATGATTCAAATTAGCCAGCCTGAAGGCTGCTACTTGGGCCTTCCCATACCTTCCTATGGAAACCACAGAACTGCTTTTGCCTGCATTTTCTTCTTAATTCCTATATCTCTTGACAGACCTGACATTTCCTTACCTGCTTCGCTTGATATGTTGTGTTCTTCAAGGGAACTGTGAAGATCATAACACTATAAAAATCTTTCTGATTTTTCTCTCTTGATCTGGGTCTGGCCTCACCCCAACTTACTCAAGGTAATATGGTCAAACACTGCTGAAAACCTTGGCCATTGTTCAAATGACGCGGTAAATTTTAGCTATTAGCCACTGGATCATTTGTCAGCACTTAGTGTGACTTTAAAATGAATTAGTAGCAGAACTATAAGAGAAAATTTAGCCTACAGTAAGACTTTCTGATTCTTTCTATACTCTATGCTAGCTTCAGTGTATGCTAATAATGTATATGCATCAGAATCATAAGATATAAACAGTTATGTGAAAGTTGGATGTAATCTTGCAGATCAGCTATAAGATCCTTTAATTTTATAGGAAAATAAACAGGCACCTAAAGAATGCAGGTAACTTGGGAAAAATTGCACAACCATTGATTTGGCATACTTTTACTAACTCCTGATGGTAAATGAATCACCAAGAAAAATAGTTGGGCAACAATTCAGAAGGATTATCGAATTCCCACTTACAGTTTTCATTCTGTGCCTATTTTTGGAGTTAGGAATCAAAATTCTGACTTGCACAATCAAACAACAGACACATAGAGATGTTGGAGGGAGTTTTTGATATTTTCACTGCCTCATTTTGTAAGAGCACATATTAAATGCAATATTTTGGGGGGTATAGAAGCTAAGAAGAACATTAATCATCTTACCTGGTCAGCAACTCTGTATACTTCTTGTCTGTTGCCACAGTCACATGTATAGACAAATACTTTCACACCACCCTTTTCTTTGGCAAGTCTACATGTTTCCATATTGCCTTCTTCATTAATGTCCCATAGAACTAAAATGGCTCCAAGGCTGGCAAAATGTAGGGCCATTAGCCTCCCTATTCCACTTCCAGCTCCTGTTATAAGTACAATTTCTCCAGCAACATCCTTTTTTTTCTTTGGAATTACTTTGTAAATTACAGACTCTAAAAAATAATATAGAAATTTTCCCAGAAATGCAGAGGTGTCCACAATTGTATCCATGTTGATTCAGTAAAGAAAATAATATTCTAAAAAGGGAAAAGGTAACAAAAATATATTACATGATATCACAATCACAACATACATAAAATGTTTAGTATTGGGGAATTTTTCTTTGAGAAATCAATTCTTCAAAATATTTATTTTGGTAACAATTGATAAAAATACTTGAATTCTTTAGTTATATAAATGTTGATCATGAAAATATTTCACATTAACAAGATCCTCTTATAGGACATTTTGTTACTCATGGTCTAACTTGATCTGAATATAGGTCCTAGATTACTAAGAAAACATTATGCTTATAGATAAAAGACCTTTGAGTCTTGACTTGCAAAGTATTTTGTGACTAGTAAAATAAGACTTTGGGTTCTCAGTCTATCTATTTTGTAATTTATGAGCACACTTGATTTCATATCTAACAGAAATTTGCTTTTTATTAGGCAGTTGTTTGATATAACAAAAATAACTTCAGACATAAGAAGTCTTTATGTATTTTTACAGACCTTTATAATACCCCTCTGAGAGAATAAAGCCAGGTATGCTATTATTATTTTATACAGAAACTGTGAAACAAAAACTCTTCAGTAATTTTATTCAGTATCAGACAGTTAACTAAAAAAATAGCAACCTTGGGATCAATACAAAATTCCTGGACTTCAGTCCAGGATTTTACCATGAGAATAAGCTTTCTTGGAGCTACTGCATCTTTTCCCCAGACATATCTTTAAAATAACAATAGCAAGAATTACTGTTAAAAAAAGAAAATAATTACAAAAATAATAGATTTTTTTTTGGTTTAGGTCATTTGATAATCATATTCAATAATTATTGTTATATGTAGCAATGTTACACTTGAACATTATTTCATAATCATTTCATGGAGAAATTATTTGTGGATATCTACAAAACCATATGAAAACAGACCACAGCTATTTGATGAATAACAGTCCTTAGCTACACAATAATAATGAAAATGGTAGCAATGTATATGGAATCCTTCTGCCACTGTGCAAACAACAGTTCCTTTAACTGTCACAAGGGTGGCCCTTCTTTTCTTTTCAGTTGAGAGAATTCAGGTAGAGTCTGATCAGATCCATCCCATGATCCTAAGTTAATAATAGTGAGGAGGAATTTGAACCTACACAGTGACTTTAATATCCAATTTCTTAAATACTAAGTGATACAGCAGGAAAAAGACTTAGCCTTATAAAAAGAATTATCAGTGCATTATTGCATTTAATTTCTTTAAAGTCAAAGTCAGGAATTAGTGTTGAGATGTTCCAAGGACCAAAGTGAGGATGCCAAAGGATAGTCTGTCTTCACGTTGCTGCCAACTCTGACCTTCCAGAAATTCCCTCAAGATAAGCTAGGAAGAGAGCATTATTGCCAGGCTACCAATAAAAATACTTAGGTGGATTTCAGAAGGGACAAAAAATTCCCTAAGAAAGAATTTGGGCTTTTGTTGCATTCAACAAGATTTATTGAACTTAAGTTAGTTCAATAGTCAGTAAATTTTAAAGATTCTAAATTATAGTTCTTGGTTTTGAATAACACTGAGCCAGTTTCTGGTTCTGGAACCTGATAAGTCAACACTGGGTTGCAAGGTGAAAGTGTTACTGGCAAAATGTGGAAAAAGGGCTTGGCCCTGTGATTAAGGGACAGGGAATTTGGTTCTCAGTAGAGATGTCAAGAAAATGGGCGGGAAAGTTGCATTTCAGTTTTACCTTGAAGTCTGCTTTCAGGACAGAACAAAGAGAAAGGACAGTACAGATCTTTCTCATTAACTTATCTATTGCCCTAACTAACTTGGATTCACAATGTTAACTTTCTCCCTGAAGGTATTACCCTCAATGTTCACTAGTAAGGAAAGCCAAGAAGCAACAGGGGACATGTGCTTATGGGCAGTGCAATGAGAGCTACCTCATTCTTTTGCAAGTTTAATTAGACTTTTGGTATAAATACTGTTCTGCAATATAGAGTATATTCCAATTACAAAATAACATCTTTTCACTTATTACAAAATAATAAATGAATTACAAAATAATATATTCCAACTACAAAATAACATCTTTTCATTTATTAAAAACAAATATATAAGTATGAAGAAGGTACTCTGGGTAACAGGATTTTCATTGGAGGACAAAGTCAGGTTGTGACCTCCTCACCTCTTTCTGGGAGGAAAGTTTGCTCCCAAAGCAGATGCTTTGATTTATCTTGAAAGAATTGCAAATAGCTTTCTGTAAAAAGTATTAAATTTCAGCAACATATTGTTATACTTTAGAGCCATTTTGAGAATAAGAGTCTTGACACTTTTCCAAACACTTGTTGTCTAAATGTTCCCTGAACTAAGAAATCACATCCCCAGCCTGCTAACAACATTCAATTTTGGAGCAGAGGAAAAAGTGCATGTAAGCCTCAGATACAGGGCCTTCTGGCCAGAAAAGATGTTCGTTCCTATTTGAGTTGTTGGCCAGACAGGGTAAGTGGGCAACCTGGGAAAAAAAATTGTCATTGCATCTTAATGGGTAAACAAACATTTATCAAGTACTAAACTACACTGTGCTTTCCTTGCCTTGTTTTCTGCAATCCTCAAAACAGCATGGTGGGGTTAAGTGTGGGACACAGGTAGGTACATAACTTGCCAGGGGATTTACAGTGGGATCTGAGTCCAGAATCTGGTTCCAGAACTCCTGCTTCTAAAACCCTATGTATAAGTATAACCAACATTCCAAATGCCACTTAATAAATTGGGTTTTGAATCACAGGAAAGTTCTTGTCATTTTTTTTTAAGCACATGCAGAGGTTCTTGGTTTAGAGAATGGGAAAGGGTGGATTTGAGAATAGAATACTTGGAAGATATCTAACTCTCAGTAATGTTAAAAATACCAAAATAACAAATCTAATAAATGTTATGTAAATTATTAAGTGCCATGCAAATATCAATTTTTATCATATGAACAAGACTCCAATAATGACACTAAGCTTGCAATCATTTATCCATAAAGATACCTACCACCAAAGCATGCAGGTTTCTCTACTTTTTTTAGCATTCGCCTCAAGTATGTAATTGTTAGGGGAAAGGGATAGCTTTCGAGGTTTATCCAGTAGTGACAATCAATTCCCCTAATTTAGTTATTGGTAAATATCAAGAGATAAATACCAACCCACACAATGCTACCACACAAGTAAGTTTCCCTCTGCCTTGGCTTCCCCCCTTGACCTTTTACGACCTCTATCTATCCCTGCCAAACAAGGGCAAAACAAGGAGAAACAAAAGAAAGAGATGCTGAAGATGATAATAAAATGACCTTCTGCCCTTACTTGGGAACTGAACTAAATTATGCCCTAATCTCCTAATATGTCCTTAGTGAGCATCTTACCTTCAACAATATTGTGCTCCTCAAAACAGCCAGCATATAGCCTTACGAAGGCTTGAGTGATTAGGCAGTTAGAAGCTGTCTCTTAAATGATTTTGATATCAAAGCCCTCCCTCTCACCTTTGCTATCTCTGTGGGTGCTAGATGAAGGAGTGTAACTCATGAAAACTTAGCTGGTTTGACAGGTTTACATTTCGTAATTCCAGCCCCCACAATGACCTGGAGTAAAGGTATGAAGTAAGGGTGTTTGTACTTGCTCAAGATAATATACAGCTAACAATGCCATTATTATCACCCTTCCCCTAGTCTTTATTTCTATATGACGCCACGAAAACACTATCTCAGCTCTGTTAGAAAAGAGGAAGATCAGTTATGGGAGGTTGCCAGGGAATGCACAGTAAGCATGTTTATGAGATTAAGTTTTCCTAGTACAGTGAAGGGAAAGCCCTGAGGGAGACAGATCTTCCTTTTCACATGTAAATGTCTCTTTCAAGACTCTTTTTATGAAGTAAAACTTTTGCCAAAAAAGATATGCTAGGGTAGCAGAATTTTGCTGCCCGGTGCCCGCTGAAATCATGATTTGTTTAAATATATAGCACAGGAGTGAACAGCTATTCAAACACCATCAATAGTCTTGTGATTCATTGACACTAGACTCCTCTGTCTATCCCACACCTGAGAATAAAGAAATCACTCCTGTCCTCCACATACACTTCCCAACAGTCGTTTATTTCAAGTAAACTCATTTCATTTCACTCATCACTCAGAGAGATGGCCTTTTCTTGGAGTACTCTTTTTGCCATGCTCCATTTAGTTCCAGAGTCTGGTATTTCAAGTGTGAGCAATGCCCCATTTAGGTCAGGAGCTTCCAGGCTCTGCACCTGAGCTCAGAGGCCAGGTTTTGCTCATACAGTCTGCTTCCTGTGACTCGGCAGCCGCAGCCGTCCTTGATGTCTCCTCTGAGATTCCTGTGGATCTTTTCCTCAAACAACAGCCATCATGTCCTCTCCATGCCATGAATTCACTCTATCATTTGTGTCACTTCCTTTCCTATGTGGACTCCTCCAGGATCAACTTTGGAAAATTCAAAGACCGTTTTGCCTTCCAAATATACATCACAGTCAGCCTTCCAAGGCCAATTTTGCCACTTAACATCCTGAACTTGACTGTTTGCTGTATTTAAGCAATATTTCAGCCCTCCTTGTGCTTGGGCAATAAACCCAGAAAACCTAGAAATCTAGTTTGAATGGTGTTTTGATTTCAATAGGAATCATAGCTCACACAGTTCTAGAGAGTTACTGGTCACAATGAGAGGAAAAATGGCTCATCAACCTTGAGCCTGAAGCCTCAACCTTTTGCCTGGAGCCTCTCTGATTGTAGAGTCAAGTGTTAATTGGGAAGTGATATTACAGAAGTAATACAATAGAAGATTGCCTTTGAGGAAAGACCCAGTGGCAACATTATCGAAGTCTTTTTAGGAGACTCATTCTAGTTTTGGAGTAGGATATCAGGGATTAAATATCACAGGCAGAAAGATAATCAACAAAGGGAGAACTCCAAACCCAATCTCCTATTTAAAGCAAAACTGTAACAGGGTGGTCCCCAGGAAAAGGGAGATTTAGG